AACCAGTAATAAGGAGTGCCAGAGAAAAGCAATGATAACAACAAAGTTGCAATATGAGTTCTGGTAAAAACATGCAATGATAACAGCAAAATTGCAATATGAGCACTAGCAAAAATGGTTGCTGAAGACATTAGGATTATAATACCCAGAAATTCATACCCAGATGTCATCAAGTGGATAAAGCGTTGGTTAAATCCGGTGAAAGAGTGTGAGTTCAATACCCGGTTAAGGCAGTAGAGAACTTTCAGTGGGAAAATTAGCAGGAGATAACTGATAACTGACATCCATTAAACATAGCACGTGGAACTAGAACAGTTTACCCCAGTGAGCGAAATAAAGGGTTCAGTTCGAAATTCCAACCACCTGAAGAAGGCCGGAGCGTACAACGGCCGAAACGTTGTGATAAATATGGCGACAAACATGAGGACATTAGTCCGAATAATGTAAATAATTGTTTGATTTTGTTAGGTCCAATTTGTAATTTGCGTATTGGCCTGCTTCTTATGGCTAACAACCCCGCATTAAGTCTTCTTGCAATTTACGTTTAGTCCTTTCTTCACTCTTTCCTTCTCTACCTTCAGTAGGCTTTTTGTAGTTTCCTTTTTATGTCTGCTATCAACACTGTCATCTGCATAAGTTATGTTATTAAGATTCTGGCCGCCAGTAATTAATCCTGGTTGGACTTCTAATTTTCTAAGTATTGTCTTATGTTGAATATATTCAGTGATTATACACATCTTTGTCTCACACTCCTTTTAATATTTGTCTTCTTGCTGAATTCAATTCGTGTACATGCGCTCTGTTCATAGTATACAAGGTAAGACGGATAAATTGTCGTCTAAATTACATAAAAATGGAAATAACACGGACATCTCATCATTACAGATATGCTTACCAACACTACACAAAAATAACTTGAAATAATAAAGAGTAAATTTATTCAATAAAATCGCCATTGTCTTCAACATTTCTCTAGACGACTTCCGGATCTCCTGCATCTTTTATGGACGGTCTTCCTTGTTTAACTTAGTGAATGCTGCCATAACACTTGTATTCAATTCATCTTTCGTGTTACAGGTATTTTTGTTGGTATCTCGCTCAAATGTGCCCAACAGATAAAAATCAAGGCGGTTGTAGTCTGGGGGGATAGGTGGCTAGATTTAAGCGTTGATGTGGTAGAAGAAATTGTCTGAAAACCATGACTGAGTTCTCCTGTTTGTGTGATATGGTGCAGAGATCTGCTCCCAGAAATGGGGTCTTTCAGCAGCCACTATTTTGACCCAGGGTAGCACTATCTTCTCAAGGCACGATCTAGGTATCGGTGTTTAGACTGAGGCCTCGTAGAAAGATAAATGAAGGCATAGGTTCGCCATCATTGGTGATCACACTAAACAACTTCGTGACCATCATTGGATTCATCCATTTCTTTTTTTTTTTTTAAGCATTGTGCCCCAAGCAAGGCGTGAAGCCACTAGGATGCAGGGGGTTGCGGAAGATTTGGAGCGAGAGCAGATAAGAGTGATAGGAGAAAGGAAGAGGAGAAGGATGGTGGGTAGATCAAGGTAATTGGAGATGTCGATTGACATTACATTTAAATAGTTGGAGATTATAGCTTTCAGGGAAACAGTGATTGGGGAGGGTGTTCCACTGGCGAGAGGTGCGAGGTATGAAGCTATTGGAGTAGAAGAGACGGCTACATTTGAAGGTTTCTACGGTGTAAGGGTGAGAGCAGGATGCCAGCCTAGTAGGGCGCTTGAATTCATGGAGTCTGGGGAACCAGAGAGAGCAGCTCATCAGAGCAGTTACCATGGAAGTATTTGTAGAAAAGACAGAGAGGCGACGGCACGTCTGTGAGAGTGTGACTGCAAACAAGACGCTAGATCAGGGCCAATTAGATTACATATCCTTCTCTGGATCTTGTCAAGAACGAGGTAAGTAGAAGGTGCTCCAGCCCATATATGGCAGCAATACTCCATCCTCTGCACTGTCCTCAGATTGACACAAACACTTTGAAATGTTCGTTTTGAAGCTTCCGGCATCAATGCCAATCTGTACAGCATGCCGTTTCCAAATTTCTGGCGGAATGAATTACAATATGGCGCTCATTTTCTCACAGACAGGACCAACAAACACTACTATCGTGTGCAGTCGACAAAATCTAAAATAAAAAACGCGCATGCGCGAAATTGAAAAACATAAAAAAGGCGACGATTTACCCATCGTACTCTGCGGACGAGGGATTATTCCAAATTTCTTTCCAAAAATGTGATGTTTGCACAGCAGTTTTTAACTGTTTTTTGTGAGTTACTTTGTCAAAAAAAAATGTATAATCCACGTAAAAGAGGTATAGATCCTTCTGCATTTACTAAGAAACGTTTGACATGGATCCGAAAGCGAATCGGACTAGCAAAAGATTCCTTCAAGAAATTAAGAAACGTATTAACACAGAAATAATCTCGTTTGTAAAAAACAATACAGCGAAAATATTATGCCATATCTATCATCCTACATGTCAGTGTGTTGAACACGGTTTCTTTACAAATGAATGCTGACGTGGTCCTATTGAAGGAAGCTGAGAAAAAAATGACCTGAGTAATTAAAGTCCTGAATAAAGGGAAACGAAAAGGAATGTTGTACTTAAATTCAGAAATAGATAATTCAATCATGTGGAACACATTAGACGAAAAGAGTATTTGGAAAATTTAACACTCACATGACATTAAAAGAAAGAAATGCTACAAGATTCCTACTTTTAAATAGGAAGTTAAATAGGAAAAGTAGGGAGATAATCGAGACTTAGATTAACAAGGGATAGGAAGATGTGGAGAGGCAAAATCGAACACGTTCTGAAGTGACCCAGCGCAGAAATGAAAGAGGAAACTGAACAACTGTTAGTCAAGACGCGTATAACACCAATGGCACTTCTTAATATATCGACAATATATATATATATATATATATGTACTAAATTGTCGATATATTATGTACTAAATTGTCATTACATACATATATATATATATATATATATATATATATATATATATATATATATATATATAGCATAATGAGAAGCCACGTATACTTTCTTAATATGTATATATAGAAAAAGTTTCAAATTAAAAAATAATAATGTTTTATTTTATGAACGTATTTAAACAGTATATAAATAAATAAATACTTTTATAAAATAAAACATTATTATTTTTTAATTTGAAACTTTATATATATATATATATATATATATATATATATATATATGTATGTATGTATGAAAGAAGTTAGGAGGATGTGAGATATTTATAAATAAGTAATTCACACAGTCCTATGGATAAAAGAGAAACTCGGATTTGTTCCACCACGGAATATGTGATCGAGGGGCGCTTTATCAAGTCTGATTCGTTACCACATCGTCACCGAGGCTCGTTGTTACAGCTGGTACGACGCTTGCCTGATAACGTAAATGCCCGGGTTTTAATTGTCGGTAGTGGATGCGCACTGCCGATGAGTCCCAAATATAGGACGAAACGGCCGTCCAGTGCTTTCTGCATTCTGTTGTGGTTTCTCCTTGACCCGATCAATTACGTAATTATAAATATATGTATTGTATTTGTCCAGGCGAATATTTTATGCCTAAATTGTCGGAGACATAAATTTTGAGTAATAATAACATACATTAGATTTTACATGAAAATAGCAGCGTACACAGAGGATTAAAGAAACCAAGGCAGCATAGATAACAAATAACAAAATTTAAAAAAAAAATGAAACATTCGTCGTCCGTTCTATCCCATACTCAACTGAAATTTCACCCAATAAATGATTAGCTTATCAGATCAGTGCAAAACCTTTTGATGCGGGAAATTCTCTAATCTAGCTTCAAATGTTTAACAACCTTTTAAAATCAAAACCTTTTAAGGTATCGAAAGGCGGCCCGATAAACGGCCAAAAAAATAATTGCAAATAATGTTAAATAAATGACTGAATAAAATATAATTCATTTTTTTTGATAAACCAATAAATTCAATATTCAAACCACCAAACAAAACTACTCTCATTTAACCACCAATTTTTCTAGCTGCTATCAACATGCCTGACGCTAGACTCCAAGAGAACAAGACATTGCGTCTTCTTGGCATCACGTTTTCAACTGACTTGAAGTGAACCGACTTCAGCAAATCAATGACTGCATCTACTGCACGGAAATTTGGGTCACTGTATCGTGTCAGAGATTTTTTTATGCACATTTACAAATCTAGCATTCTTTCGTGAATTGAATACTGCTGTCATATCTGGTCTGGTGAGCCTACTGTTCATCTAGAGGTTCGTGACAAAATCCAAGGAACAAGCTGTAATATAATCGTTCCCGGCTTGGCATCTCGACTTCAGTCACTTGCCCAGCAACGTGGTGTGACTTCCCTCTGTCTTTTCTACAAGTAGCTTTATGGCAACTGCTATGACGAGATTTTTTTTCTATGGTGTCCCGACTACATGAATCTAACCGTGCTACAAGATTGAGATCTATAATCACCTGACAACCGATCGCATGATCATAAATATGACAATAATATTGATAGGCCGGGCAACCTAGTGTAAATAGTTACAATACCTTATCGCAGAAATATAGACAGACATTTGTAAGTTTATTTAATATAAACTTTGCTTTTCTCACCTTTTACGTCACATGTGGCAATCTCTCTCTCTCTCTGTCTCTCTCTCTCTCTATCTATCTATCTATCTATGACAATTTATTATCTATGTATCTATCTATGATTGTATTAATATTCTCTCTATCTGTGACAATGAATAATCTATCTATATATCTATTACTGTATTAATATCCCCTCTATCTGTGACAATGAATATTCTATCTATCTATCTATCTATCTATCTATCTATCTATCTATCTATCTATCTATGTCAATATATTATCTATCTATCTATCTATCTATCTATCTATCTATCTATCTATCTATTAATATTCTATCTATCCACCTGTGACAATGAATAATCTATCTATCTATCTATCTATCTATCTATCTATCTATCTATCTATCTATCTATCTATCTCTGACAATGTATTTTCTATCTATCTATCTCTGACAATGTATTTTCTGTCTATCTATCTATCTATCTATCTATCTATCTATCTATCTATCTATCTATCTATCTATCTATCTATGGCAATGTATTATCTATCTATCTATCTATCTATCTATCTATATCTATGTATTAATACTCTATCTATCTGTGACAATGAATATTCTATCTATCTATCTATCTATCTATCTATCTATCTATCTATCTCTGACAATGTATTTTCTATTTATCTATCTATCTATGGCAATGTATTATCTATCTATATATCTATCTATCTATCTAGGTATTAATACTCTATCTATCTGTCTGTGACAATGAATATTCTATCTATGACAATTTATTATCTATCTATCTATCTATATATCTACCTATCTATCTATCCATCTATCTATCTATGACTGTATTAATATTCTATCTATCTGTGACAATGAATATTCTATCTATCTATCTATCTATCTATCATTGTCTGTTCATTTTCTATCTATCCATCTCAGTCTGTTCATTATCTATCTATCTATCTATCTATCTATCTATCTATCTATCTATCTATCTATCTATGACTGTATTAATATTCTATCTATCTGTGACAATGAATATTCTTCCTATCTATCTATCTATCTATGACTATTAATATTCTGCCTAACTATCTGTGACAATGAATATTCTTCCTATCTATCTATCTATCTATCTATCTATCTATCTATCTATCTATCTATGACTGTATTAATATTCTATCTATCTGTGACAATGAATATTCTATCTATCTATCTATCTATCTATCTATCTATCTATCTATCTATCTATCTATCTCATTCTCTCAGAAATTTGTACATGAAACATTTCGCCTCAGCCCCCATTTATGTTTCTTCAACACCAAACTTTACTTTAGTCTTATTACACCTACCCTTCCTTGCCACCTTTATTTCTCTATTTTATCCTCCCATAAACTTTCTCCAATGCCTTTACGGCCTCCTCCCCCAGCTCAGCTATTTTTTTCCGTAGCTTTTTATCCGAAGTGTAAATCAGCAAAACTCAACGAAGACAACGGCAAAATGGATTCGGCCTTTTCATTTTATCTCTTTGCTAAATTCGACAGCTGCAAAGCGGCGATCAGGCACGACAACAGACCCCACTCCCCTCGGAACGAGCGTCAATCTCGAAAAATACCGTCTTTTTCGTAGAATGTTTATACTTTTTGCATTGGCATCAAAGCGGCGGGCGCCCGTTTCTCATTCTTTGAATATTTCTTTCTTGTTCTTTTATTCACGTCCAGAAACATGCAGATATAGTTTGAAGACTGGACAACGGCTTCGTCTCTCCCTTCCGCACACCACAAAACCGACTGAATCGAATCCAGTGCAGCCATAACTATTTGATGTGGTAATTTAGTCTTTCTTTATGTTCGAGCAACACGCATAAAAGAACGAAAAGAAAAAAAAAACAATAATAAGGTGGACATTGAATGATAGGAATATACAGAGTTCTCTCCCTTTGTACATTTTCGCCATTTCCATAAAAATAAGAAAATGGGGGAACGATATAAGAACTAATAAACAGTTAAGTATAAAATAAGTAGAAAGAAAGGCATATTATTTCCAGAGGATCTTTAATTCGGTATTATCAGAAAAATCAAGGATAAAGGCAAGGCATTGGCATGGTGACGATATTAAAGAATTTCTGAAATAACGATGTTTTTAACAGGTCAACAAAACAGTTGAAAGAACATTATTTTCCTGTGTAAGAGAATAAACAATACATATATACGGCCAAAGACGTTTCAGTACCTACTTATATATATATATATATATATATATATATATATATATATATATATATATACAGGTGTATCAAAAATACTTTACAAACATTTTTGGGCGGGATCTTCACAACAAGACAAGCACAAATAAAGTATCTATATAAATATTTGCCCGCATATCCTTTGAATTGAGTGAAAAGAAAGTTTACGGCAGATGGCGCTGTTTTTCCATTTAGACTAGGTTACATTTTTCATTCGTGTACATTGTGGCTTGTCCCCGTTTAAGCATGAAATAAACTCTCAGTACTGGGTGTTGACTTCAAAGTCCACTTTAATATTTTCATACGTTCTGTCTCTAATATTGAGCACTTTAAATCATTAATATGGAATAACTTAAAACTATATTCTCAGTTTATATATGCAGGGTGTATAAGATATTTTTACAAATTTTGTGGGTGGGATCCTCACACTCAACGATGACAAAAGTTCAAGAAATCTTTTTGTTTATGATTCATTTAGAAGGATGTTTACGGTAGATGGTGCTGTGTTGCCATTTAGACTAGGTTACATTTTTCATTCGTGTACATTTGTGGCTAGACTGTCTCCACCGTTTAATGTGTGTAGTGGTGAGTTTAGTGAGGAGGGTTCCGTTTAACGCTGGTAGGATAGTCATATCGTGAGCAGGCAGAAAGGATTTTTACATACAGCCGCGCGAATGGTTAAGGACGCGAGGATTCACAGCTGTATCAGATTGCGTTTCCAGACCTATATATATATATATATATATATATATATATATAATATATATATATATATATGTGTGTGTGTGTGTGTGTGTGTGTGTGTGTGTGTGCGCGTGTGTGTCTGTGTGTGTGTGTGTTTGTATTACTTTTTAGATATTACAACAAAAACATGTAAAATCGCTACACAATTGGTGTTGTATTTCAACGCATAACTATGCGTCTCGTCAGGCGACTATAAATTACTGGTGAGTAAACGATTAGTATGTTTCTAAATCAAAATAGAAAATTAATAAACAAGAAAACATAAAGAATAGTTTTATGCGTGTTTTACCCTGAACAAATATGGCCATCATACCTATATATATATATATATATATATATATATATATATATATATATAATACCCCAAACGACAGTACGATTCGGAGTTTCATGCACTATGCAATCGTCAGATACTGAGAACTGATCAAGTTATTAGCTTTGTTATTTTACACTGAGGACAGTTTTACTTATATATATATATATATATATATATATATATATATATATTCACATGTATATATATATATATATATATATATATATATATATATTCACTTGCATATATATATATATATATATATATATATGCATGTGAATATTTACATGTACATTTATTTATATTTATTTGTTTGATTATATTCACTGATATATATATATATATATATATATATATATATATATATATATATATATGATTGAAATCCTCTATGCAATGTTGCGACTTCCTTTACGATTTATGGGAACGAGTATGTAAAACGCGTGGACAGATTCTGTAAAAGTTTTGAGATAGAAAGATAACATCCATGCTCTCTCGGATCAAACACAAGATGAAGAAAAGGGATACACCGAAAAGAGATATTGTTTACCTTTCAGAGGAAAGAGGTGATCTTTTTGATCTACAACCTGTCCCAAAAGTCCCTATGCATTTTTTTTTTTTTTTTATTTTTCCTTTCAGGTATCATTCGGAGGAGCATAAGGCCATCAGAATTTGACAGCAGTGCCAATGCACTTTTTGTAATTGTTTCATTCCCTTGACCCGGCTCCCCAATTGACGTGGAGCATCGTTGCAAAATGGCCACATAGCAAGAATTTTTTCAGTCCCTGATTGCTGTTCAGCGCGTGTTTGAGAAACTTTATATCCAACACATAGCACAATTTACACTATCCACAGCAAGTTTTTGGAAACAGGATCTGTTATTGGCAAACCATGCAGCGGAAGGCCTGCTTCTAATGCCGCTGAGGAAATCACCGAATTCCCGAAGAAGGCTTTCGCATAAAACAGAGGAATCTCCATACTGAGGGCTGGACTGAAATTCAACCTCAACAAAATTGCGTATCAGCCGATGCTTTAAATAAAAGTAATAATGCTCTACTCGTACCAGTGTCGGGTTGTTCAAACCTTTCACCCAGTAGATTATGATGCTTTTGTGGAAATGTGTGAATCACTCCTCTACCATTACCAAAATAACCCTCAACTCACGGAAAAATTATCGTTCGGCGACGAGTCTATATTTTATCACTATGGTCAAGTTAACCTACAGAACTTTTGAATTTGGGAAAAATCCAACCCAGCAAAAATTCTCGAGCATGAACAAGATTCTGCAAAGTTGGTCGTCTGGTATGTTATGTCTCGCAGTGGACGGATTGAACCATTTTTCTTCAGCGATACACATGATAACACGACCGGCGCTACAGGGCAGATAATGCAGGAGTTTGCTGTGCAATAACTTCAGGTGAGGAGTAACCTTACTGATTTATATTTTTCAACAAGTCGGAGCTCCTCCCCACTTTGCCAGGTAATTGATTGATTTCCTGATCATCAAGTTTCCTGACCGATGGTTCGATCAAAGTAGTACCCTCAAATGGGCTTCGCGCTTACCTGACATCACGCCTAGTGACTTTATTCTAAAAGGCTATATCAAAAGCATGCTGTAAACCCTATGACTAGTCACAGCTGGAAGAAAGTATCTGCCCGGCCTGCAACGAGGTCAGGGAAGATGTCTGCGTCCGAAGGTGGCTAAGGTTTGTCGAATACTGAGGCGCTCATGTGGAGATATACAGCTAGTCTTTCAAAGCATTGGAACGTCTAACAAGTTAAATTGTAATTACTCCTTTTATGGTGATAAAAATATGAATAAACTTTAATTTATTAAAGATGTACAGCGACTTTTGGGACACACTGCATTTACAACGTGTGCGTCTGAACCTAAGCAAAACTGGAATGAAAATATATTTTTGAGGCCACGCCTAGAGACAAGTACATTTTTACGGCACTGCCATTGGGACTACTAAGGACTATTCTTGCCTCATTGTAGCAATGGATGCAAGTCAGCAGTGTTGATTGAAAGGACACATGTAAGTCCCCGGTGATCAAACGCTGCTTTCCGATGTCAATGTAAATTCGGTTCATAAATGTCAAACGAGCAACTAAAAGATGGAAGTAATTCGTCTTCTTCTCAGTGACATGTACGTTCACAACATTGGCGATCATGTTTCTCAACCGCATCCTGTACTTCACAGCATATATATATATATATATATATATATATATATATATATATATATATATATATATATAAACTTAGAGAGCCAGACAAACCTACCAAAGTTTAACCTAAGCGGATCGGCAGGAAGGCTGACGATCCCCTCAGGTGAAACCTTGGTAGGTTTGTCTGGCTCTCTAGGTTTAACTAGGTCTACTCTACTCATTGTATTGAGCACTTTATTTAGTTATTTTGGTTACTCGCATAAGGGTTTTTTTACTTTTGGGCCTTGAACTCGTATGCTGGACGATTATTTTCGGTTAACGTACATGTTCTTGGCTCTTTCTGTTTTATACCTTTTTTCCCCCCTTTGGTATTAGCTTGTTTATTTGAAATCAACACACCGACGGTTTTCCGAGCAGTATAGTTTCTTATACTTATAAGATTCCTATTAATATATATATATATATATATATATATATATATATATATATATATATATATATATTATGATTATTTAGTCCCAAATAATCATAATTTGAGATATATCTCTATCTATATATCTATCTATCGATCTATCTATCTATCTATATATATATATATATAT